AAGGCAGTCTGCATCATCAACTCGATTTAGAAAGAAGGAAAAGAGGGAATTACCATGTTTTCCGACGTGGGGTTTCTGCAAAACCTCTGTTCAATTGGGCTGATCACCCGTCGCTGGTCACCGACGCTGTTGAGAATGGATGGTCCAGATTTGGGTTCACTGGCTACATGCCGTCACCGTCCACCAGATCAAGCCTCTTGGGGATATGCGCAGCAGGGGATTACGAAAGAGGAAACGATGTGGAGATAAGTTGGGAAGTCTGTCAGGGATCAGCGGATTTTATGCAGAAAATTAGGCTAAATTCTGGGTTAAAAAAAGCGAATTTAAGCAACCATTCCACGGCGGCAGCCTCCGTGATCAGAACAGCTTTGCCGTTACCAGGGCCGCCGTTGGGGAACTCTGCTTTCCCTCAAGAGGCGTATTTTGAGATCACGATTTTGTTCTGTCGCGGCCGCAATGACGATCAAGAAGGCGAGAAGGTCAAACTCATACAGGAAAATTCTAATGCAAAGGCGAATTCAGAATCAGAGGAAATGAAGCTTGAAGGCGACGCAGTGATGATCTCCGTAGGACTAACCGGAGGCGCTCCTCTTCCTCTGAAGCTCCCCGGAAGCTATCCGGGGTCCATCGGATTCAATTCCGACGGTTCTGTCTTTCTCGATGGTAATAAATTCTCTTCATTTTCACCATTTTAATGAAAAAAAAAAAACTGCAAAATTGATAATTTTGTCTAATATTAGTGTCATCTGCAGGATTGAAAAAATATAATGAAAAAAATATTTAAAATTATGGTATTTTAATAAAATATTAGTTAAAAATTAAAATAATGTTATTTTTATTTTAAAAACTAAATTTGAGGTATATTTCTTGCAGTATAAACATTTTTTCCATTTTTAATGTCCTTTTTCAGGGATTAAACTAGTGTTTGGATCGGAAAAAGAAGACTGGGGAAAATCGGAGAAAGTGATAGGTTGCGGGTTCGATCCACGGCAAAAGAAAGTGTTTTTCACGGTAGATTCACAGCTGGTCCATGTGATAAATTGCAAAACAGAGGAATTTGGAACTCCGCTGTATCCAATTCTTGCAGCAAACGATGACGTTTTGGTCCTAGTCAATTTTGGACAGAGCGCATTCGTGTACTCGCCGGCGAATCCTCGCCGGACACCGAACCCTTGTTTCATTGGCCCCCTTGTGAACTCCCCTGCTCTCGGGTTTGAAGATAGCAAAGAGCTGTTTTCGATGGGGAGAATTGATTCTCAGTGGTTTAACCGGAACACGACAAAGGCAAGCATTAATGGTGGTGCTAATAGTCCAAGGGTGGAATTTGACGAGGAGTCTGAGGCTGATTTGTTTGAAATTGTCTTGGACGGTACCGGAAGATCACCCAATACCGTATTATGAAACTGTAGCTACCGGAATTGACAATTTTGGTTGTGATTGGAGGAGTTGGAACATCAGAAACACCTGTCTATATAGAGTTGAGGAAAGTTGCAACCTTGAGCAGCTTGTTCATATTCAGAATATGATATAAAAACGAAAAAGGTAGTGTATGAGAAACTGAGAATACAGGTGTTTTTTTTTCTGTAATTATCTGGCTTGTCAAGGATTTGTTACTCTTTGTATAGTCCAAATTGCATTGTTTATTCAAGATGAGTCGTTTATTAATCTCAGATATCTCATAATAAACTTGTTAAATTTTAGTCAATGGCTCATCCACTAATTTATTTAAAAATGTAAATTTTTAATTTTTAATTATTTTTTATATATATTCTTTTTTTAAAAGGATAACATTTTACTCTCTTCGGTCCATTTAATTGTTCCAATCTTCTCCTTAATTTTATATAAATTAACTTAACAATTTTATTAATAAAAATAATTAAATTTTTTAAATTTAAATTAAAATACTTAACAAAAATTACATATAAAAAAAAATAATGTTTTAGTTATCATCTATTTACTAAATAAAATTCTAATTAAATTTTATGTAAAAATTAAATTGAAACAATTAAATCTAACTAGAATGAGTATATATTTTTAAGATAATACTAATGTTTTATCATGGTCCAATTTTCGCATACATTAATGTCTCAATCTTTCACATGAATGAACAGGGTCTTTAACTTAATGGTTCGACCCCAAATCTTAAGTGTTTGGATGAAGTGGGCGAGTTTTGAGCTTCATTATCGTTGTGAACTTTACCAAAAAGCGATCTGATGGCGGCGCACCTCACTTGAGGGATAGAATGTTCACTCGGTCTAAGAATTAATTACTAACAATTAATTCATATTAATTTCTTAATCATTACTTTGTAAAAAAAAAAAAAAAATCTTTCACATGAATGAACAGGGTCTTTAACTTTAATGGTTCGATCTCAAACCTTAATTGTTTGAATGAGGTAGTCGGAGTTTCGAGCTTCACTATCATTGTGAACTTCACTAAAAAGCGGTTTGATAGCGACGCACCTCATTTGAGGGTTAGAATGTTCACCCGGTCTGAAAACCAATTACTAACAACTAATTCATATTAACTTCTTAACCATTACTTTTGTCAAAAAAAAAAAAAAAAAATCTTTCACATGAATTAATTTGACTTGTTTACGCGAAAAGCAGAAACTGAAGAAGATGCACCCTTTTGTGAATTGGTTTCTGTTACAACAAATGGATTTGCTCGGTCAACGATTTCGTGTTAATTAATAACAATAATTGATCATTATCGTAATTCATGTTTGGTGATTTGGGATTTTTGACTGGGAAAACAGATGTCAGTATGTCAGCAAAAGAACCCCTCGTATCTTCCCATGCAGATAGGAATCCAAACGCCATGACATCAGAAGATTCTTTGATGAAAAGATCCATGTCATGTTCTTGCCTTATTAGCTTCAGGCCACATGATGCCGATGATGGACATGGCGAGATTATCCAGGAACGACCGGTTTGAGAATATCAGAGATTGGGATTTCAATTCCGGCATCAAATTTCCTCGAAATCGTCCATTTACATTCCGCGGAAGTTGATCTTCCGGCCAGCTGCGTAAATCTAACATCTGTTTCAGAAGCCAAGCCAGATTCACCAAAACTCATACCCATAGAGACTCCTTCTGCACTCGAAGAATCTAGTCATCCCCTTCATCTGGGTCGTGTGGAAGTTACGAGAACAGACGGTGATGATAAGGAAGATTAAGAGGAAGAGTTTTGCTGCCGGTAGGAGTTGAGAACAGAGATGAGGAAAGTGGACAGGGAATGATTAATAGAGGGATGCGTGCTGTAGGTCTTGATACTTACTCAAGCATCCAGAAGGGTAGTTTAATCAATGACCCATTGTGGCTGGAACTCTGGCCTTGAAGGAGTGACTTCCGGAAACGTATGAACACGTGGCCCTTTTTTCAGAGCAATATAACGAGAAGCTGGTGACTCCAGTGGAAAAATTTGGAGAATCCGTGGGAAAATGATTTTTGGAAGGTTTGGCCAACACAAGAACCACTTTTGATAAGCAGAGATGGGATCAGTGAGGCTAATGATGTAGACATGTGGTTATGAGCAACTCAGATGAAGCTTAAAAGATGCGAAGATAAGCAATGAGACACGGAGAATTGGTGAAGAAAGCCATTCAAGTTGATGCCTCATTGTAAAATGAAATAAATGCTGTGATCAGAGCCATTAAAATTAGATCATATATAATTCATGAGAGTTGCAACATAGTCAAAGGAAATCTCCATGCCAGGATCACAAAGTTTAATACGGCTGCATACACCATAGACAGATTGCATAGAAAAATACCTGATGTTCACAGCACCTGTGTTAAACTCATCAAAGGTTACCAACAAACACTCCACAGATCATATGTGCAGGAAGAATTAAGAAATTGAAACTTAGGCTTGGATCATATTGAATCCAACTTGCAAAAGAAAATGATCACAATTATCATATTTCTATTCATCCACATCATAGCATATGATACCCTGTGGCAATGATTGTAAAAAGAAAAGGGAAACCTGTTGAGCAAGACTAACCTCACCTTTTCAGCACAATGACATCAACACAACATATAAGAATTTATTACATTTGTTTATTTTTATTGCAAGTATATGTACTTTGCAATTGCCAGAATCTGAACATTTAAGGTTATAAAGCATAGCCATGGCAGAAAGTTGCGACTGTTGCCAAACCAACAGAGCAGGCACTATCACAACTTCACGAGTAACATCCATCAAAACTAAAATTGGCAGACCAACAAGGAGCCAGTAACAAAATCACTCTAGACTAGATAAGAGCCTTCGATATAGAAAATGTTAAGCAACCAAGTAATCAGTTTATTATATGTAGTGAAACAAGCCTTTCACTAGACAAGGGGTGGATACTGCTTGGCTTGCTGTCGCACCCTTCGTCTATACTCTTCAGGATCCTGTCATATTAAATATTAGTAAGGAAACAAATGCCTTCTCTTCAAAAACAAATAGAGAATCAAACTTTAATATTTAAGATAGATGCTGAAATACCGTGACAAATAGCTGATATCCATCAGTTTGGGCAGGATCATTGGCATTTGGTTGATCCAGCAAATCCTGAATGCCCACTAATATTTGCTTTACAGTAATGGCAGGTCTCCAACCCTTGGACAAAAGACAAAATGAAAACATGCTATTAAGACTGATAATAATTAAGTTATACCCAAACTTTAGATTCTAGCTTTCCCTCTATAATCCATGACAGGAGCCAAAAGCAAAATGTAAAGGAGGCAAACCAAAGACTGTTGCCAGGTACTTACATAGTCCTCATTAAGAATAGACAGACACACAGTTCCGGATGGATAGACATTAGGGTGGAAGAAACCCTGTGGAAACTTGCACTTTGGGGGTTTGCTAGGGTAATCTTCACTGAAGTTTAGCGTGAGAGGATAGTATCCACCCTCCCAATCAGTCTGCAAAATCAAAGAAAGCAGATAAGTTTAAATGAGGCATTTTAGTGTTCATTGTACAAATGATACATAAATCAAGCCACATCATTCCTTACAGCCCAAAGACAAGGCAGAGCCCCCAACCATCCCATTGGTCCAAACTAATATGCAAGTTATTTAAACATAATTGCAGAGATGTGAGCAATAAAGAAAGAAAATCTAGTCAGTTCAAATCACTTCATCTGCTTGATTCCAGTAATATAAAAGCAAAATGGTCAATATACCCTCAAAATCGGGGACAACTCCATTACACCAACGCAAAAGAGGGAACATTGAACCTAAAGTTAAGGTAGACACGCAGTGTAAAACATTTTTGTAGCAGAAAAAGAACTCCCAAAGTTCAAAGACAACTTGGTCAATTCACACGAATGCAGTTTTCATCAGAAAAACTTGCCAACTAAAATCAGGACTTCAATTAAATACTAAAATTAAAAGAGTCTAATCACCAAACTCCAAATCACCCAAAACAAATATCAATCAACATGCGTATGCACAAAGTCACATGACTATAAATGAAAAAACACAAACCCATTACCCAGTAAAGAGCAAAACACATAAAATTATAGCTAAACCTCAACCTCGAATTCGCTAACCCAAAAATGTCCAATTTTTATGCTTCAACTTAAACATCTTGCATTAAAAAAGAAAAAAATTTACATAATGAAAGGTTATTGGACACACCTTGGCTTTGCCTGGTATAATACAGTGCCAAACCATCAAATTCACGGTCCCATCTGGAGCAGTCTCCGGTTTAGCCACAAAACCCTGCAAATTTAAAAGCCAAAAACGAAAAAGAAAGAAACTTTTGAGTAGATAAAAAGTGTAGAAAGCGATAGAGGAAGGCTGTATGTAAGTAAGAGAAGAGAGATACAGGGACAAGAACATACGTGGGGATGATTCTTCCGCCAGGCCTTTCGCTCCTCTGTGAGACGGCCACGCGCGATGCCACCTGACATGATGCTGATCTTCAGAGAAGCTGGATTGAGCGTCAAGTTTTGATTTTTCTAAGATTTCACAGACCTCCTAAACTTCCACTACAACCCACCAACCCCCCCCCCCCCCCCCCCAACCCCCCCTTTTTTTTTTTTTGGAGGGGGGAAGGATAAACTAGTCATTATCTCAATTTTTTTTTTCTTTATAATTTTTTTAGTTTCCCCTTTTTATTATTGGCCGAACTTTATTGATTGTGGAGTGGAAATAGTAAACACTCAATTAATGCATTTTTTCTTTTTAATAAATACCCACCTTGAATGTTTTCAAAAATTCAAAGACAAAATTATCCTCCATATTAAATTAAATTCCTTTCAGACCTGAACCATGGAAGGCCCAGTTTTATTAAACATAGGCCCAATTATTCTTTGGGCCTCAATCAGACCTGGATTGAGTATGCTAAATTGTAAATGGATGACGGTAATGTGTAAAGTTATCAAGGCCTAAGTGGAGAGAATAGAAAATTTAGACTTTGTTTAACAACACTTCTAATGCTTTAATTCTTTTTTTTTTATTATTTTAGAAAATTATTATTTTATACTTTAAACTGTTTTAAATTATAAAATAAAGACTATTAGATTGAGAGAAATGCCTCACATAAAAAAAAAAAAAAACCCATCCTTTTATTCAAGAATTATTATTTTACAATTTATACTGTAAAATAGTCTATCTTTTAAAAAATATGTAAAATGTTAATTAAAATAAATATTACATATATTAAATACATTTTATATATCTTAAAGATGTTAAAAGATTAAAGAACCTGTAACTATAAGTACAGTTCAATGCTGCCAAATTAATTAAACTTTAGTTAGCCTTTCTTTTTAATGTCTTTGAACAACATATATATTTTTTAATTTGGTTTCTTGTTCTTATGTCCAACTAAATCTTAATTTATTTTGAGACAAGCTGTTTTTCTGTAGCTTAAAAATATGTTGATCCGATTATTAAAAGATTTTTTTTTCCAAAAAGAAAGATAAAACAAAATGGACTTTTCATGTCCGAAATATTTTTTCACATAGACGAGAATTGGAAAACAATTTTTTCATTGGTTTTTTTTTTTTAAGTAAAAAATTGTCTTTATAAAATCTTGATAAAATTTTGATTTTGAATATAAAGTTAATTGAGATTTAATTTTGAGAGATGTGGACAATTGACCATGCTCAATCATGGGCATCTCACAATGGTTTCATGCTTTATGCACAACAGTTCCCAATTTGCATGACTCTGGACGCGCTAAAGGCACAAAGCCAATCATGAACGCATTTGATTGTGATTGGTGACTGAGCAAGAACTAGATATTAACAAAGCTGAAAGCATCTCTAAATATGAGCCCCACCCCCGCACCCCACACTCACCAACACCACATCTAAACGCAACAATGACTTCTGCATCATGAACACTTTCAACTTTGCACATGTTGTGTCTCCAAAACCCAATAGCTTTTCATACCCTAAACCAGAAAGTAGTCATCTTTCACAGCATTTGCAGTTTTTATCTAAACAAATCATGATGGACCTAAAAAGCAGCAGAATTTAGATTGCATTCTCCCTTTAAGTAGACACAATAATTACGCCTTTCGGAATCGTTATCTCCCCTATGAAAAACCTTAGATCATATCATTAGTAATGTAGTTAGGAAAACAAGCGCGTCCTAATTAACAGAATGGCTCATAGGATTGGTAGGTCAGAGGGTCGAAGTCAGTTTAATTAATATGTTGATGATTCTGGTGATGACAAAATGGTAGGGGACAGAGAAAGAAAGGGGGGCTTGGGGCTTGGGGCTTGGGTAGAAAGTAAGGGTTGGGAATAATTTGAGTGGATGAAAAGGAGGTGGGGGAGCATGTGATGCAAAGCTCCACATGGGGTAGAAAAGCATTGGGGGTAAAGGGTGGGGGAGTGGGAATAAAGAATGCCCATTTTTGAAGAATTGCAGCTACTCATCTATGAAAATTTGGTGTAGAATTAAGAAAGCTACTTGTTTTGGTCAAAGATTAAATTTTTGTTTCCTCCAATCATGTGGTTTTCCTCAAGGTCGAAAGAGGTCTTGGTCAGTTTTGAGTTAAAATTTCAATGTTGTATGTTGTTTTACTCAATGTCAATATTACACGTAAACTAAATTTGAAAAATTAGTTTACAGTTCTGCACAATATCTTTTTACAATAAAATCTTATTATACTGATTAATTGAAGAATCATTTCTTAGAGGAGGTAAGATTGCTTTGGACGCAAAAATTAATGGTGAACTAATGGAAATGGTAGTGATACGAAATTGGTGATGCAGATTCTTATCATTGGACGTATATAGATGGTGATATTATCATCATCTTATTATTACTACATGTATATACAGAGGCAAAGGAAAAAAACAAGGGCAAGATTTTATGTCCTTTGGCCGTTTTTGGTTTGCCCTTGATGTTTCTGTTTCTGTTTCTGTTTCTGTGCCCACCTTTAAGATGGTGAAGGAAAAAGCCTTTTGGTAATTTTCCTCCAGAATACTTGTCACACAAACAACATTAATTCTTTCCCTCGTGATATAATTGGCTCAATATCAAGTCTTCGGATGATTTCTGGGAATCTAATTCACAATTCCATAATTGAAACTACAAAAAAAGAGGAAAAAAAAAGGGGGAAAAAAGGGGGCCTATCTTAGTTGCTTGTTTCTGCATCAGATCCAACGATTGAATTGGGAAAAACCATATAGTACGTTAGGTTGGGGGTGAAGGAAACTTAGGGTTAGGGTTTTTCCATCAGATTCTCCTTTTCACCACTTACCTCTTCCTTCTGAATGAAGTAGTCACAGAACAAGTTTGCTTAACTTACATTCTACCTCACCCAGAAAAAAAAACAAAAGAGCAAGGGAATGTCCCCTTTTGGACTGCTTTATTTTTTTGATTAATGATAAGAAACAGAATCAGCCTAAATTACTGTCAATATTTACCTAACTAGGGTTATTTAGTTACTTAAATCTTCATTAAAATGAAATCCCAACTAAAAATAACTAGAATTCTTCCAACACTTTCCGAGAAAGTAAAGATATCATTGTCAAGATTACTTATGCAAAATATACTTCTTTTTCAAGACAGGACAGCGTGATATTATTCTACTATATCCTGAAGATGGGGAGCAGTAATCACAATAGTAAACAGATTCCATATTTAGCATTCCATCACATGATTTTATCCTCAAACCTGCCCCGATCTGTGTCAATCCTTCAGTCCTAAATTTGCATTTCAAGTCACCATTAGCGGCTGTTCTTAGTCACAAAATTTGTGTTGTTGCCTTACCTTTAATTACTATAGCGGATAGCACTCGCTTATCTAACCACACAAACATGCTTTATTGAGAGTTCTTTACAAATTCCACGACGCAGCAACCACCTGCAGTTAGCCCGAACTATGACAAAGGCCCAAATCTGTCCTACCACAGTACAAGCTAATTAAAGTTGTAGTTGCTTGTCAATATAATACCAGACAAATAGAATTCAATCCTGAAAAATATGCTGCAAACATGGAAGATTTAAAACAGGTTGTTCGATTCAAAGTACATTAAATTACTACGATTTAAGAGGATTAAAAATGAATTTATTAGTTTTATAATACAAATTATTACTATTTATTTACTATTAAAATGTTCTCATATTACCTTTCATATATCTCAACATTAATTTCTCCTACGTAATTTTAAGAATACACCTCTTATGTGGTGCAATTAACAAAATTAAAATTTTTAAATATTAACTCTAAAATATAACTTTAAAATTAATTACACAATAATATTTATTTATTAATGAATTTATCAACTGTGTTTAACACCACTTTTTTTTGGTACTAAATCTTTTAATATTCAAAAATTATATTAATTTTTAATTAATTTAAAGTTGAATTATATTAAACCATATAAAAATAAACTTTTCTCAACGTCTATTTATCTATTTATAAAATTTAAACTTTAGATATTAATTAAAAAAATAAATACTTTTTATTCAGATCAATAAACCATTGCTAACACCACTTATCACTCTTCTTCGGTAAAGTGTTTTTTTTTTTTTTTTCCTTTTTTAGGTCAATTTTGTTCAGTAAAGTCTCTAATGCCAAGCAAGTATTTAGCAAAAAAAAAGAAAAAGAAAAAAGCCAATGGAGTGACCACGGCGAAGTACCCAAAGGGAGAATTAATTAACTGCCACAAAATGAGTAAGAGGTGGGCCCAAAAGGAGTCTGACCGGGCTAGTGTGGGCCCAGACCAAGTTATATACACAAAAAAGGCCATGTGAGGGGGTGGTAGACATCTAGCTGGCTACGTCCAAATATGTGGGTCTCTTTTTCCGTCCTCCCCTGCTCCGTCACTTTCCGTTTCAATATCTAATCTCTTTTCCGATCACGGGCAACCCTCCGACCACACCGACCATTCTTCAATTAATAACAAAAATTAAAACAAATTCTCACAATAAAGGGATTCAAAATTTAGAATGCAAGTTTATTTACTTATTTATTTACATAAATTTTATTTAGAGTCAACCACATTAATTTAAGAGAACATGAACATATATAAGAAAATAATATATTAAATTTAAAAGATATATATATTAGTGTTTACACCCATTTTTGCAAAAAAATAGAATGGTGCCACATGTCATCCATGTTGACAAGAATTTCGTTGGTTGAAAGCAATTGGAGTAAATCTCTCTAGATAGTTGAGTGGTTATTTCCACAACTACAGCAAAGCCGTTCGTTTGTTGCAAACTTCCAGGAGGATAATCGGCAATAGAAACAGACTAATCTATTTGTTTCAGATATCACACTGCCATTGGTTTTTCAAGATTGCTGCTGCAAATCTCCAAGTATGCTGTCAAGGGGTGTTTATTGCTATAAGTATGCAGAGAAGAAATGAAGCGAAGGAGACCAGTCTCTCACACAACTAGCCCAACACTATCTACATTTTAGTTTTACAAGCAATGTCTTAGTTTAAATCCAGTTTCCTCAAACAGCTTTCCTAATTTAGTCTTTAGCTCTATGCTGCCATTAGTTTTAACTCTGATTTTTTTATTTTGTTTTGAACATCTCCATTGATGTATTTAGTTTCTTACAATTCAATTTACTGCACTTTACCCCAAATTCATCTTTCTAACTTCTTTTAAGTTTAGTTTTATGCTTCAGCTTCTATTTCGTTTTCTACGTTTTCATACTTTTGCGGCGGCATCACGCTTTCTCTTTGCAATTTAGTTTTCTCGCCATGCACTCTTTTTCTTCTCCTTTCCTTTATTTTCCTCTTTTATCTTAATCAACAAACTAACATTTCGGCCCTAGTTGTGGGAAGT